GTGGGTACAGATGTGCGGCCCTCCTCCCTGGGTGGGTACAGATGTGAGGCCCCTCCACCCTGGGTGGAATGGACAATTTCTGACTCCCAGTCTGTGTGGGAGTCCTTGTTTCCTCAGTTTACAACAGGCTGCATGTGGCCATTCTTGGTTCACTTATATGAGTACACGCTCTCTGTTTACGGGTACCAACACACTGAGGGTGGCTGGCACTTGCACAGGAATACACACTCCTTTTAGACAGGACAATCAGGACATCTACGGAATACTGAAGGACCTTGTGTTGAGGCACACAGTTTTAAGAGCTTCTTTAAAAACTTGGCATTTTTGAGCGTAAAGTTACCATAGTTCTAAGACTTTAAAAACCAATATCCTCCCCAATCCTTCCCTTCTCCTCCTCTCCCCCTGCTGTTCCCTGAAAACCCAAACTAGTAATCATCAAGAGTTTTGAAAACAAAGCAAAAAACTTTATTTACAAAAGTAAATTTTAACTCACTTGTAGATCTATGTCAGTGCTGACAGCAACAGTCCCTGGAATATTTAAAACACTCTGACTGTACAAGACACTGAGGTCTGAGCAGCTCACTTCCCCCAGTAACATTATAAAACTTACAAAGGTTTCTTTTGCTTTGCTGTGTGGTCACGTGTTTGGGCAGACGTCACGTTTCAGGGCAGGCTGCCCAGCAGGCAGGGTTACATGACCATTGGCTGTGGGTTTCCCAGAAGCAAGGGAGCCAGTCTCAGCAGGGCCCGCACGGGCATCTTCAGCTGTTTCACTCTGAAGAGGAGCTCAGCGAAGCTTGTGCTCCCTGAAGGGATGCAAATGGGGGTTGGGGGGCAGGAGAGAGGGTCACACCTCTGGACAGACTGATGAGCCATCCCTGGGGGCGCTCCAGACAGTCACGTTAAAGCTGGCATTCTGCCCTTTGAACAGTTACCCAAAGACAGTGATTAAATTATGAATTTCCCCAATGTGCTGTATAGTTTGATATAAAAATTTAAATGCATCCATTCTGTACTTCAGAAAGTAACCTCCAGTTATACGTGAAACTACTCTTATTTAATTATACACATTATTCAAATATAAATAAAAAATAAACTAAAATATTATTTATATGTAATTGATAAAAAAAAACCTAAACATAACTTTAATAAAAATCAATTAACAGAGAAAAACAATGTGAATATTTTGGGTTCTGTGGAGAAGAACGTATCCTTTTCTGAATGTAAATAAAAGTTCATGCATGTGTAAAGTTCAGAGTTTCTTTTTCCAGAAAAAGTTCCAAAAAGTAGCACCCACACATGAATAAAGACAGAAAGTAGATAGAGAAGAACCTCACTGAGAGCACCTCCCCTAGAGTGTGGGGGGGTGGGGGGCAGTTACCTTCCAGTCCGAGCGGCGGCAGGTGGCGCGGAGCGGGGACTGAGTGATACACGAGGAAGCAGGCCAGCATGCTCAGCTGAGACTCATCCCAGGGCTGCCCGCTGAGGTAGGCGTGCACACACGCGTCACCCCCAGCTGTGAGAGAGACATGAGGAGCTGCATACCTGAGGCCACGAGGGTAGGCGCCTCCTTCCTTCTTTACCAAGAACTCAGTGAGCTCTAACCTGTGCCAGGCAGGAGCTGTGCTTGGCACTCAGGCCACTGTGGTGGACCAGACAGAGTGCTTATGACTGCAGGGCTAAGTGTTGTGGGGACATGCAAATGCATAGTCGCAGACTATGATGAGGGCTATAAAGACAGTCAGATACTCCCTAGGCCCCACTGTGTCACACTGGAGGGGACCAACGGCGGCCCCGGGGCTGAGTTCTGACTATCCATTCAGAGCTTCTCAAACTCTAACCTGGAGGACTGAGTAAAACGCACATGGTGGGTCCCACCCCCAGGATTTCTTGGGTGGGGCCAGAAAACATGCATCTCTAAGTTCCCAGGTGACACTGCTGCTGCCCCAGGGACCAACTGAGGCCAGCTGTCTAGGGCATCAGGCAGCCCATTCTCCTGACAGTGATAGGCTCAGGGACAGGCAGGCCTGAGCCGCTTGGTGACAGATATGCTCCATCTGCCACCGGCACAAGCTGAGGATGTGCAGTTGAAGCCAGAGATGAGAGGCAGACAACACGTTTGCTCTGGGTCACAAATGTCCTCATTCCCACAGGAAGCTACCAGGAGCCATTCTGCGCGTCCTCTGGGCCAAACGCTGAGCATGAGGCAAAGAGCTGTTACAGTCCCTAACCCAAGTCCTCGCTGCAAAAATCCAGGAAAAGGAAAGCTTGCCCAGGTTTATTTTGCTTTGTTTTTCCTAGTTTTTTGAAGCAAGAGCTTGGATTAGTGGCTTGAGGCTTTTCCTCCTTTATCCTGTAAGCATTTAGTATTATGAATCAACACGACAACTTCCACTACCAGATTTCAGGATTTACTCTGAACCTGCAGTTATTAAGACACTACAGTCCTGGCATCAAGACAAACAAACAGACTGATTAGGTATAGAGCTGAGTCCAGAAACAGACTCACACTTATTCAGTCAACCAATTTTCGACAAGAGCCCAAAGCAAGCAAGTCAAAGTCTTCTCCACAAGTGGTCCTGGAACAACTGAATATCTGTTATTTAAAAAACTCCAAACCTCAACTCCTACCTCACACCTTAAATCTCATAAAAGATTGATGTGAGATGAATCACAGACCCAAATATAAAAGCTAAAACTGTAAAGCTTTTAACAGAAAACTTTAAGAAATCTTTATGACCTGACAGCACCAAGAAAGCAACAGCCATAAAATAAATTGATAAATTAGACCTAAAAGTTCTGTTCCTCAAAAATCACCCTTAAGAAATGAACAGGCAGAGTAGGAGGAAAAACCTGCAAAGTATCTCAAAGATGTAGCCAGAATCTGTAGAAGCTCCTACACTCAGTTATCAAGGCAGCCAATTTAAAACTGGGTAAAGATTTCAACTGACACTTCACAGATACATGAATAACAAAAAAAGCACAGGAAAGCGGGGTCAACACCAGAGTCACCAGCGAAATGCAAATTAAAACTAGATGATTCCACCACATACTCAGCAGCCTGTCTAAAAGCGATTACAACGCCCAAACCTGCGGGCACCCCCTGCAGGGGGGGACTAAAATGGCGCCATTAGAAAATAGCATGGGGTAATGGATGCAGGTACCAAGGACAGCAGAAGACGAATGACTGCTTGTTGAATTCTGCGGGTGATGGAGCTTACAAAACTATTCTGTTTACTTTGTCTTATGCTTTAAATTGTCCATAATAAAATGGTTAAAAGTTAATAAAACTTCTTAACTGAAAAGCCATTTTCTTTGCTCAAGGTTAAAATCTAATTGAGGAGATAACACACACAGAAAACCCATTGCCTGTTCAGCAGTCTGGGCTCTTAGTGAGTGACCCTGAAGTCCACACTGTGTTTGTGATTTTAAGACACAAACATGAATGATGCTTCTGAGGCCCCACATCCCCCCTGAATTACTGTTCCCCAACCCACAGCCAATGGCTAGTGCTCATGAGAGCTGAGAACGCAGAGTTAAGACTTTTAAAAAGTGATGGCCCCTCACTGGAAATGAGCATGCATTTCTGGAACTGTGGGCAGCAGTCAGATTGGCGGAGGCTCCAAGCAATGCTGCCAGGAGCAGTTTCGGGCACCCTTTACAGACTGCTCTAGTAGCTGCTGGCGTCACTGTATCATGACATCTGTGAGTCACAGATTTGAGGACACATTTATCAACAGTAAAGGTCTGCTGGACGTGACCACATGCTAAATTCAATAAAAGCAATGCACCAAAAGCTATAAAATAGCTTGTATATTTCCCCAAAGTGAGGACAAAATAGTATTTAAAAAAAAAATTTAGGGCCGGCAGAGTGGCACGTTGGTTAAGAACTGGCTGTCCCCATGGTTTACACACGCACCTTTAAAGAAGCTGAGGCAGACACTCAGTTTCACACAGCTAGCTGGAAACACTGCACCCACAGTCGCGCTGCTGACCCTCAGCTCTGTCTTGCCCCCCATTAGAACATGCAGGACAGGAAAGCTGATGCCACATGCGTGGGCCGCTCACCTTGCAGCCAGCGGTCCAGGGCGTTATCGATGGCACACTTCACCACGGGCAGGAACTCAGAGCTCATGAACAGCCCTCGCCTCGGGTGCTTCTGCAGCCGCTCCTGGTGACTCCTGGAGCTGAAAAACTCCAGGACCAGCTTTATCTGCCAGAGTTCTGACGTCTCGGACATTTCTGCCCTCCCCAGTCTTCTTACCGCCTAGGGGAGGAGGGGGGCGGCACTCAGTGAGGGTGAAGCCGCCCCGCCGGCTCTCGCTCAGAGCTGGACACGGCGGTGTTTGCAGATGTGGCCCATGAGACCATTCTGCTTGCACAAAGTCTGGCCACACAGCCCCTACTGGGCACAGACACATGGCACACACTCCAGTGTGGGTCCCACGGGCACAGCTCTCGGGTAAAAGCAATAAAGGCACACGAGCCCACTCTTGGCTCAATGGCTCTGAAAAGCAAAGACCAAACAGGTCTAGAGCCAGTGCCCCCTGGGGATCCTGGGGGTGTCAGGATGTGCCCGGGTTCTGATAACACTGCTGTTAGCATCCACCTGCAGGCACCATGCGGCAACCAGAGGGTCATTCCTTCATCGACACCTGACCGTGCAGGCCCACCGGGTGGAGGTGTAGAGCTGGCTGCTGCAGGGGCATTGAGGGGAGCAGCGCCGAAGTGGACGTCTCACCCTCACACTTTCCAAGCAGACACTGACGGAGTTCTGCGCCTACGGAGTTATGCTGGACACTGCCTTTAACTAAGGACATTATTTAACTCAAGAGACTTTAAGGTTTGGGAGACTGTCCTCTGCCTCAGTGTAGTTCCCACTCAGCTTTTCAGTAGGGATAACTGTACCATTAGCTGGTATCCCAAATACTCATGTGTGAGCTCACTGTATCATATTTTCAACAGACATTTAAAACTATATCCTGGACCTCATCCCAGAAACCCTGACTCAGCAGACACGGAATGGACTCTGAGGATCTATAATCTTGAGATTTCCCAGATAAATTTTATCCAAGTTGGAAAACTACTGGCTTAGCTTAACTGCAAATCTGGGTCTGAATGACGTACTGTTAAAAAGCCATGTGTGCTCCCAATACGCCAGAACGAAAAAATTGGTATGAGCCTTTAGGAAAGCCGTCAGGCACGCATCACCCCTTTCAGGCTTTTGAAACAGCAGGAATACAAAACAGTTTAAAAATGGAGCCCAGTGCCCTGAGCCAGCACACACTAGTCCTGGGAGCACTCACACCACCAGCCATTCGCACAGTGTGCCCACAGAAAGGCTCTCAGGAGGGAGGCAAGAGGCCACCCAGAAAGAGACAGGGAGAATGCGAACCCAAGAATGAGAGAGCCCAGCAAGGGGCACAGCTGTCACCATGAATGCCAAGCTTTTTGATGTGCACAGTTTTCACCTTTGCTGGGGCTTCATATTTCGAATCTTTAAACACGAATGAGAAAACTAAAAAGATGGGGCCCTTGGGAACCTTACCTGACTGTTCAGGGTGTTACTGAAATACAGGATAAACCTCTCAGGACTGGAATAGGTTTTTGGAACCATACCTGGTCCATTGCCACGTACACAGGCAACATCTCTGGGGTCTCCTGAGTGACACACTCGTAGAGTACTGAAGAAAAGAGATCCAGAATTTCCTGTTTCTGTGAAAAATCAAAAGCTATTTGTAGCACACCGATGTATATTCCAAAATCAATTCAAGAAACAGCTACACAGCAGCCACTATGGCCCAAGTTAAGCTCTACAGTGAATTACAGAAAAGGGTCAGCCGCCTCTCTATGCAGTCACAGCACATGCCACACTGAACCTCCATGACTCGCAACCAGACTTAAGTCCCGAGGGACAGCTAAGGGTGCGAGTGCTATCAGCGGGGGTAAAACGAGTGGACAGGACGTCAGAGACGTGCCTTGGGTTGTAATGGCAAGGGCAGGACCCACAGAGGGGCCCAGCATCCCAAGAGGCAGCAGAAACACTGAGCAGGACAAGGCTGGGGGAGGCTGCCAGGCTATCTAGCTGGGGCTGAGGGCAGGAACAGACCTTCACCAGAAACCTGTGCTCTTGAGCACATGGCCTGTCCTTACTAGCTCTGATCTTGGACAAGTGACATCTCTAAGTGGCAGTCTTCTCTCTGCAAACCTGGAAAGATAAAGTACCTACCCTCCGGGTGAGAATTAAATGAGAAAATTACGTGAAGCACTGAGCAGAGGGTCCGATACATGCAGCCCTCATTTTATTGCACTTCACAAATGTCATGGTTTTTACAAATTGAAGGCAAGGCCTTCCACCAACAAAAAGATTATGACCCACTTGACCGCGACGCTCCTTTTACCATAACCCTTGCTTTACAGTGACCCTCGTTTTACTACTGTGGTCTGGGACTGAAATAGCAGTATTTTCCAAGGTGTGAATGAACATAGTAAAGACTCAATAAATAAGAGGGGGAAAGGTTATTTCACTTTACCCTCAAAACAAGAATGGAAGGTAGGTTCCATTATAATCCCACTGCTAGAAATGAGGAAACAGCCTCTTGGAGAGGTTGAAAAATTTTCCCAAGGCCACACACTTGTAGGCAACAAGTCATCAATCCCAGACCACCTAATTCTCACATCCAGTCTTGGCCATCTGCAATGATGGACTAAAATCAGTGATCTCCTAGGCAACCAGTGACTCCCAAAGAGAGCACTTTTACAACCAACAGGAAGGACGACTATAAAATAAAGGAAATAAAATTAACAAAATTATGCAAAAACAAGAGAAGGACAGTAAACACTGGAAACATAAATCAGTACAAGATAAGAAAGTTATCACCTATCAAAACTAGTGACTTGGAAATTTTAAGTTGTTTCTTCTATCAAAGTAGGAAGTTCTGAATTTATTAATTTTAGACTATGGAAAATCTGTATTTGCCAAGCAAAAATCAACCAGTGTGCCTGAGGCATGTTATTAATCTCAAAGACAGATACTAGAGATTTTTTTGGTGGTGTTCACAGGTAGACATCACAACAAATTCTACCCTTGGGCAGAACAAAGCATACCATGCTTACCTGGCCCATGCTCACAGTGGGTTTGCAGAAATACTCAGCAAACGACAGAAGTGCTAGGTCAGAAGTGAATGCTGAAATTGTTTCAGGCTAAAAAATAAACACACAACAAGAAATATAAGTAAGATTATGATTACTTTCTTTGTTCTTCAAATTGCAATGTGTGCAGTTGAAAGAACTCTACCTCGTTTTCACAATGGTCCCCGAAAACCCAAAGCTGTACAAATTTGCTAGAACTCCCTCAATGTGTTCTGCTTAGAAGTTACAGGAAGCTTTCTGCACAAGCTGACACGAGCTCCTGACTTAGCAAAAGGCTGATACTAAATAGCACTTTTCTACACAACTCACCCAAAAAAATGCTTTCCCTCTCCTTCATTAACTGAAAAGCAAGCTAGATTGTTACTAAAAAGGTAAGGAAAAAAGAATATTGCTCAAATGGCCACTCACAAAAAGACAAATACTGTGATTCCACTTAGATGAGGTAACTAAGTCGTCAAAATCAAAGAGACAGGAAGGAGAAGGGAGTTAATATTAAACAAGTACAGAGTTTTAGTTTTGCAAGATGAAAAGAATTCTGTGGATGGATGCTGGTGATGGTTGTATAATGTGAATGTTCTTAACACCACTGGTACCTGTACACTTAAAAATGGTTAAGACAGTAAATTTTATGTTATATGTATTCTGCCACAAAAAAAAAAAAATTAGAAAAAATAAAGAGAGTATCACTCAAGGTTCAAAACTGAAAATGAAGGTATGGAGGTATTGCCATTTTTCACTGAGGTTTATATTTTACTTCTGAATTCCCAGCAGGCAGGAAATTGAGATGTCTTTTAATTTTTATACACTTTCCCCATTCAAGCTCAAGTCTAATATTACCTATTTTTTTTACAAATTGGATTAGGGTCTTTGAAATGGGCTCTAATTTGTGTCAGAAGCAATAGTGTTAAGTAAAACTTGGTCCAAAAAACCTTCAGAAGTACTTCAGACACCTGTACCGAATGTTGCCAAACAAAACTTACTAGTGTCAACTGCATCTCTTTAAACCCTGGGGACTGTCATAAAGGCTCAGTCCTAAGTAATTGACCTAAAATGAAATATGACTTCAATTAAAATAAGCTGCTACCTCCTCACTTGGGAAAACAAAGGCTGGCACCGCTAACTAAGCCTGCGGCGTGCCTGCTTCTGTGGGCTACCCTTAGGGGCCCCGACTCCTCCCCCACCTCTCAATGTACCTCCAATAGGAGCTTACATGCTCACAGAATTCCTGAAAACTGGGGTTCAATTCGGAAATTTGATGGCAGACCATGGGCCACATTTCTAGTGCGGGAAGCTTATTCTAGAACACAGAGCAAGCTACGTCCTTGCCCCCTCGCCTCTGAGGATAAGACTGCTTCGTGCATACTTTACTCATCCAAACACTGCTGTAATAGCAGTCAGGTGCTAGGAGAATAAGGCCAACTAATAAGGCTAATGCTGTCATCATTTTATCCTCACCAGGGTTTAAGCAACAAAAGGTTTAAAAATGGAACTAAGCGCTACCTTGCAAAAACCTTTTTCTGTTCAGGCCAGGAATTAAGTACATCTGGACATATTTAAGAATTCGTGAGTAAAATTACTAAACTGGAATTTTTACAGCGTAAAGATATATTGTGACTGTCCCTACCACCAGATGTGAATCAGCCTCAGAGTCCCAGCAGGTGGTGTGATTTATTATGGCTGCCACGTAAGAGGGGCAAATAGACCCTGTGTCACTCGTCTATGCCATCTGCAGTGATAAGAGGGGACAGAGCCATCTCCCAACTCTGGGTGGGCTGGGGGGTGGGGCTTTCCCCTCATCCTTCCGTTTTTACCAACAAACACTACCTTGAAAGCCCGGGCTTCAGAGTTCCTGTTAGCTACAGTCTGGGCCAACAGACTCTGCCATCCCATTGGGTCTTCCTTGTAGGAGAGCTGGCCTGCTCTGAGCTTCACATATAAAACCCCATCCTTGGAAAGGATTGACCTGAAAGAAAACAAGAGTGAGTTTAACATGAGGTACGGATACTGGCGGGTCTTGGCCGGAAATGCTCTATTTCCCAATACCACATTCATAAGACACTAAGTCTTTACCATTTTCCACTAAGGTGTAAGATTATTTACTGTGTCCAAAATTAAATCAGTTCCCGCGCCCTCTCCTCAAGAAAGCCAAAACAGACTTCCAGTTTTCTCTGGCATCCATTCACAGAGCTTGTTAAACAAGAAGGTGTTCTGACTGACTGCTCACGTGGGAGATTCAAAGGCAGTATGTCACCTGACGTGTCTTTATGTTCCCTGTCCCCCTGGGCACTACGTGAGGGACAAAGAGGTACTAAGTAGCTACTGACTGGTGTGCAGCAACAAGAAATGATGCTGCAAATGTAAACACAAAACAATACAGAATACAGATATTACACAGACAGTTTGAGGAAAATGGAAATTGGGACTAAACTATAAAAACTTTTGCGGGCTTGCTACGTTTTCTGGAAATTTAAAGACCATTTACATACCACTACAGGTATAAAATTATTAACACCCTCTGTTCGTTAAAGTAATTACTTGCATATGACTATTTCTACACAAAATCAACCTACCATAATCTTAATTTTATGAGAACAATCTAACAAGAGAATGATAAAGAGACACAGAAGATGTAATCTGACAAACATCAACTGTCACAAAGTCCCCTTGTGGGCATACACATCAGCCTTATTTTCTTAAACTCATTCAGTCATTATTATTCCAACAGACAACTCCATTACTGTCCCAACTTAAGTCACTTCAAGTTTCTCAATGAATAAACATAAATATCTAGGATTTTATTTCTAAGTTAAAATTTTTGTTTTCTAACACAAATGTGTTTCAAAGAGATAGATCACTGTACTCAATACGTATCCTACATCCTGTCCTGGGTCAGAAAGGAGGGTGACAGGACCACGTTAAATAACAACCTGTGATTGACACCTCCCCATGTTTCTCCGTTCACTTCACAGGTCATCTGAGTTCAGTATACTTACTTCAAGTGCTGTGTTCCCTTGCTTAAATCTATGAGCAGTTCCCAGTATCGTGGGCCTTTAACTTTAATCTGCCAACATAAATGGAAACACAGTCAGCCCAATGCTGACAAAGAGCTACTCTGACAAATGAAACCCCTGCTTCTCAGAGGAAGTAAGGGTAACTGGGCAGGAAAGACCTGGGAAGGTGAAGGAGCCCCGTTTCTGGACCAGGATGCGTGTCACACCAGAGGCCGCCTACCCTGCGTGGAAAGCCCGCCCCTCGCGCCCACAGCAGTTCCTGGGGGGGCTGCTTCCCTAACTGCTGCAGATGCTGAAGCAGGACAGGCTTTCACTCAGCTGTCCATAACACACACTGTCCTGGCTGGACCCACCCCATGGACATCTCCCTAAGTCACATGCCCTGTACCTGCTTTAAAAGGTGCAGCTCCGGAAGCAGGGTGGGGGCCATCAGCTCCTCTCTGGTCTGCTCGTACCACTGAGTGCCCTTCACAGAGGTAAGAGAACAGCCGTTCACACACAGTTAGAGGAGCTGCAAGGAGCAACAGCCCCACTGTCCACTTCTGCTCCCCGAGGCTGGCAGACTACTGTCGGGTGGCCCAGAATCCTCTCTGATACTCATGTCTCCGAGGGCTCACGCCTACCACCCTCATGGGCCTCCAATCACGTCCAGCCATGCACGCCAGCACCACAGACCTGCACTCGGCAGGCCTCAGGCCTCTTGCCTGCAGGGAACATACCTCCACAGTTGGCAGATCTCGGCCTGAGCACAAAGCCTGCCTGCAGCCCCCCACCCACAGCTGGATGGAGCACATCTCTGCTCCCCTCCAATACCTGTTCTCATGGCACTCATGCCTGGCTCCCCAACGGACAGGCCAGGAATAGGACAACATCAACTTTGTGTCCCAGAGCCTAGCACAACTGTGACAGACAGAAGGTACTTAATTGTTTCTGATGAAGGAAGGCTACATGATGTGTAAACTACCTGTGCACCTAAATCAAAGATCTCTTGTCAAACACAGTGCCGTGGGCTTTAAGCCCCCTGCGAACTAATCGCTCAACAGTCCCAACCCAGTTCACTGCTTCCAACACTACCACCAGCCATGTAACATCACCAGGGACACTTCCAAACTAGCTCTAAGGATGAAAACAGCTGTCACTCCCTGAGGTCTTCGTCCCAACCCTGTGAATGAGCCCGAATGACCAGCAGGACATGCAGGAACTCTGGAGGTTTCTCTTTTTATGAGGGTTCAACTCACCACTGTCATCTTTTAAGGGACAATACCTTTGAAATACCCTGACCTGCCATGATGGACGAGTAGTAATAAAATCACAAAGAGGTGACCAGAGAAGCGTTACCTTATAGGTGACTTCCAAGAGGGTGTAGCAGGGTGTGTTGGTATCCACGTCCACAGGAACCAGCAGCCGTGGCTCTGCAGCCAGTACGTACAGGTGCCTCAGGGCCTGGAGATGATACCTGTTCACAGAAAACACAGCAGGTACCCAACAGGCCATAACCACACAGCTCTACAAGCAGCTGTGGCCAACACACAGACGCAAGAGTGCCACCTTCCAAAGACAGCAATCCTGAAGGAAGATGAGGGGGTCCACTTAAACAGTCATGGAGAAATTCTCTTTAGGAAATTCTAGACATTTGGTCTTTACCCACGAATTCTTGAATTTTCAGTTATGAGGTTTTATAGGGAGGTAAAAATTATCTTAAGATGAAAATATGTAGTAATAAATGGATCACTTATCAAATCAGTTCGCCAATATCCTTCTCTGATTAACACAGAGCATCTCTTTCCACATCCTTCAGGATTTACTTCTAGTTTTATTTTTATTAAGTGTTGGTAGGAAGAAGGAGGAAGAAAGAGTGCCAGCTTTCCTCAGATTGGAAAGTCTTTCTACAAGATGTACACACACAGAATATAGCGCACCAAAAACTAATGGGTGAGATCATAACAAGATTTTTCTTTCTGTGTACTTTCTGAGTCTTCAAATTTTTTTTAAACTTTAAAATGTATATTTTACAATTTAAACACACAGTAAATTTTTACATTTTAAGTTATCCCATTAGAGGATAAAATAACATTCCCCCTTTTCTTTTTTTTCACTTCCAGCCACACCCTCCCTTCCCACCTCCAGCTACCATCCCTATAAATCTATTGAAAATGAAATCAGTCACAGCTACAATACAACTGGTACATCAGGTTCTCCGTGCTTGTCACCAACATGCTCTGCTTCCAATAGCTAAAGCCACTGATACTATCTATGACCAGCAAGAGACGCATGAGGCTCTCCAGTACCCTCGCCAACAGCTGACGTTAACATCTCAAAAACTCTCTCCTAAATGGACAGGTGAGACCATACGTCAGTCATATTAATTTAACGACAACGTTCTTATGTGCCACCTGTCCGTAACATGTGGACTTCAGACCAGGCTGCTTTGGGGAAAGTCTTTTTCCCTAAAGAAAACCTTGCTGGCTACTTCTGGGTTTGAGCGTTCTGCCAGCTGGAGCACAGCGGGAGACCGAGCAGCCATCAGGTGTCCAAAACTCTCTTCTGCTCTAATGCCTGACTGAGAAAGACTTGTAAAGGGATTCAGCCCCCAAGATATTCTGCTCTAGGTTCAAGAGCAGAATAAAGCTAGTTTGGAAATGAGTCCATGGAACCGAAATACAACCCAATCACCCCTTAGGAGCTTGGGGAAGGCCACGCGGAGGACAGAGCTGGGACTCACCTGTTGTCAGTGCTGTGAGAGGGGAAGTGTGGGTAGAGGGCGCACAGCAGGGCGGCGATGGAGGGGTTGGAGGTGCTCAGAGAGTACCTGTGAGGCAAAGCCAGCGGACAGGTGCGTTAGCGAGACCACCCACCTTTCGAAAACCTGGCAACTGGGGGATTGCGGAGAGGCCTTGGAAATGCAAGTGTGTCAGTGACGAGCACATGTCACCTTGCAGTTAATCCACAAGCCTTTTCAAGGTCACCTGCTTCTTAAAGCACAGATGTTAAATTACAAAACTTGAATTGATAATAAGCAACGCTTTAATCTAAAATGGCACCGTACTGAGAACCATGAACACAATCCTAGATATTAGAGACATTGAAAAGTCACAGATAAAAGACACCACCATCTCCTCCAGTTTTATATACACCTATTTACAGAATTCTCTTAAACATACAGGGTTTTTTACTGGGTATCTCAAAAATTCTTTCCACTTCTGTAAGGCATGACCATTTCCTTCAAATGATGAACTAAGCGAAAAAAGGCAAAAGTTATCATTAAAAAGTTGCAACTACTTTTTAGTACAAACAACTATTCCTCAAAATAATGTTTTTTAAATCAATACGATAAACTTATAAAGGCAACATACTCTTAGAAAAGTCAAATGTCTTGAAATATTCCTTAAATTTCAAATGTCTTTAAGTTTCACTGTTGCTCAAATTCAGCATCGCAAACAGGCAGGTGAATCTAAAGTTCCACAGTTTTTATTACACATATTCGGAAATAGAGATTGTACAGGACATCATTGTTGGTACACTGTTGTAGCTATTCAATATACACGTATGTGCTGTTACACACACACACCCAAATCTCTTTCTCTGTCTGTACTTTCTAATAATGAGGGTATTGAGTAAGAACTTAGCATTCATCACACACACATTTAACCAATTAGGAAGAAGAGATTTCGAAACTTGAATAAGGAACTATTTTGACATGTACATAAAATAGGCCATTTTCTCTCTACCATTTTGATAAACCAAAACCCTAAAGCAAACATTAGAATTAATGTCAGGAACTGAGCGTAAACAGCAGGGTGGAGCTGTGCTGTGAGAGTCGTGGATGCTGTCGCAGAGCACACAGGACGTTTATGGGCCAGAAGGCACTCAGGACGCAGCAGCAGCTGGGACTGAGCCTCAGTATGAAGTGGCAAGCGGCTCACACAGTGTGGGACCATGGAAAGCAGCTAAGAGAACAAAACTCTTGAGGGGCTTATTTTGAAAGAAAAATAGAATTTCAAAAATCATAAAATAAGAAGAATTTGTATAGTAATATTTCTTTAGCCATTCTTAATTCTAAACAATTGAAGAAAGAACAATTCTACAAAACCTGCTTAAAGGGCATGCCACCTTTCTGACAATCTTTACTTTCTGTGCTCTAGAAAAGTGAGTTCCAATGTTTAGTTCAGTTTTAAAGAGGAGGCATGAACTTGCGTGACCTGTAAGAATTGTGTCAGCAGACAAACGTCACACACACGAGAGCAAATGAGTGCAGGGAAACCCCACACTCCCCTCCCCAACAGGAAGACGCACCAGTTCCTCCCAAACCCATGTACAGACTCAGTGTGATTTTGATCAACATTTTATCAGGTTCTTTAGTGGGAAAATCACAAGGAATTCCAATACTGCTGTGGCGTGCAGAGTGCCAAGAACAGAAAAGCACACTCTTGGAGGTCTTCCTCCCCAAGTGCCTTACTCACTATAAACCGCAATAGTTTAAACACTGGTTTTGTTGCATGCATAGAAACACGGACCAACTGAACCTACTAGCCCAGAAATAAACACACAGACATGGGCACTGAAGTTACAACAAAGGTGGCTCTGCAGAACTGGGGAGAAAAGATACGCTTTTCAATAACCATGGGCCATTGATGGGGAAAAAACATCCAGAAAAATCAGTTCCAGGTAGATTTTAAATCCAAAAGAATGGAAAAGCTAAAAAACTTCTGGAAGACAAATAGAAGACTATCCTCTTGAGAGGGAGGGGACATAAAAAATACTTCATCAGAAGGACAGAAAAGTATAAACCATAAAATAAAAACATTCATAATTCTGTTTATCAAAAGACACCATTCAGAGAGTTAAAAGGCGAGCCACAGAGTAGGAGAAGGTAACTACAACATACAAAAATGACAAAGGCCTCAGATCACAATAATGAACCAATATGGAATAGTCAAATTAACGGAGAATAGAGGCTGCCAGAGGCCGGGGAAGGAGATATAGAGGAGCTACTGTTTAAAGGGTACAGCGTTTCAGTTGTACACAACAAAAATGTGAAAATACTTAATACCACTGAACTGTACATTTAAAAATGTTTAAGGTGGTAAATTTTATGTGTATTTTACCACAAATGAAAATTTAAAAATAAATAAACCAGTATGAAAATGGGTAGCAAGAGCTCTGGGCATCACAAAAGAGATTTCCAGTTGGTCATTAAAGATATGAAAAGGTGCTAAGTATCACTATTCATGGAAATGGAAATCAAAACCACGACAAGATACTACTACGAGATGGCTAAAATTAAGACGACCAGCAACAAGTGTTGACAGAGGGGAGTGCCTGGACCTTACTATGGTGCTAGGGAGCAGGTCACAAGATACAACCACTTTGGAGCACTGACGGCATGACTAAAGAGGCTGAACACACACAGACACACCATGGCCAGTTCCACTCATCCATCTGCACACAGCAAATGAAAGACATAACAAGAACATGCATGCCAGTAGTCTCCGTAACGGCCCAAACTAGAAACCACACACGTCCAGTAACTGCAGTTACTGACCCCAGTCACACGGTTCCTTCAACAGCACTGAAACATGACTAAACCCACGCGACACACAACACAGATGGCTCTCACATAAATGCTGAGCAAAGGAAGCAAGAAACAAAAGGATGCACAGTGTATGTATGATCCATTTGAATTTAAAAAACAGGCAAAAGCAATCTAAGGTGTCAGAAGAGTAACTAACTAGTGGTTCTCTCTGGGCAGAAGTGAAGCACCAGTGACTGGGAGGGGCCTGGCAGGGTAGAGACAGGCCTTCTGGCTACACCCTGGCCTGCCGTGCCACTGAGCTGTGCTGCTATGGTCCGTACACCCGTGCATGTGTATTTTTAGTCAATACACATCACGAAAAACCAAGCAAGTCTTACAAAAGGATGAGGTGGTCAGGCATGACAGATGGAAAGAGAACGAGAAAGTTGAAAACTAAGCAAATGTCACAGGATTCGGTGGCTGATGGTGTTCATGACCTTCACGAGAAAGCGGCTCAGTTGAAGTCAAATACTTAAGCGGTGGGGAACTATAGGCCTGCCTGGTAGTGAAATGCTGACTCTTCTGAGAAATGTAGTGCTGCTAAGTGAGAGAGGATGGTAACTCTCAGTAGGTAAGTTAGAGAGAGGATGGCAACTCTCAGTAGGGCATACACTGATGGTCAAACCATAAAAAGGGCCTTTCAGATAAGCTAATGGCCTCCAGAAGCAAACACTTTCAGGCATCCTCAAATTCAAAATAAGACTCTCTTAAAGATCTTGCCCACGAGATCTTTTCATCGAGGAAAGAAATACATACTCATTTACCTTCCTCCTCCCAGAAATAGAAGTCCGAGGGCCATGTGATGGGCTAAGTGGAAACCATAGTTCATTTCACCGCCTGTTTTCATGTGTAAGAAGCGACACAGCTGCAGTACCTTCAGGTTCCCCGAGCCGGCCATGACCATGGCCAGGGACAGCAGCACCACACTCAGGCACGTCTCCAGGTTGTGAGGGCCTGTCTGGAGGGCAAAGGAGGACTGCTGTGTTACATTTCTTTACTATTAAAACTAGATTGGCCGTCATTAGACTAAAAATGTTTATGAACTTTTAAAAATCTATAAAAACAAGTATTTTCTCTGATTATGAAATCTAAGTTCAATGTAGAAAATTCAGAAAATAAAGTACCAAGAAGGAAGTAACCAAAGAGAACCACTGTAAACATTTTGCCTTTTTTCTCCAAATCTTTTCCTGTATTTATGATTTTCCCAAGTGAAACTGAGATATTACTATACACATTGTAAAACTTTTTAATCTATTACATTATAAGCAATCTTCACTCATAAAAAAATCCTTGTAGAACACGATTTTGATAGCTCCATTATATAGAATGTAGAGATACACCATAATCAAACTTAACTACTTTTAGACTTTTTTTTTTTTTTTAAGATTTTTATTGGGGAGTTGTGGGGATGGGAACAGTGCAGGGGAATTGGGGGAAGGGGAACAGACAAGTTGCTGTCCTTTTTGTTCTTCAGTCTAGTTGTGGAGGACGTCGATTCACTGGCCCAAGTTGGCACCATCATTGCTCTCTTCCCGGGCGAGACAGATCAGTCGCCGGCTTCTGGACGGCCGCTCACTGCGGCTGCTGGCCACTCACGCTAGCTGCTGGCTACACATGGTAGCCCATGGCAACCCACTGCCACAGGGGCTGCAGCCTATGCCGTTGCCGGCGACTCACAGCAGCCCAGCTCCAGGTTGAGCTGTTGTTCAGCATCTTAGCTGTGGAGGGCAGTGTCACTGGCCCTCATATGTGGGATCCGAACCGGGGCCCTCTAGCGTCCCAAGCCAGTTCTTAACCATCGCGCCACTCAGCCGGCCCCTTTTAGACTTTTTGAGGTGTCCAGTTTTCTTGTGTTATAATGTTGCATAAATCTGTGCATTTACTAGGAAATAAAATCTTTCAGTATTCTTGTCATCAGAGCAGCAATGCCTCAAACACAATTGCATTTTTACTAAAAACCAATTTTTTAAAAAAAGCAATTACCAATATTCAGTACTGAGACAGAATGGCAAACGGTATGACAATCCATGAAGGATATGGCTTTTCTTATTTATTCTCTCATCACAAGAATTGGACACTTGTGCACCCTTCAAGGGTAACCATATTCTACCTAATTAATAGCCCAGAACAAAAATACAAAGATGAGGGCCGGCCGAGTGGCACGTTGGTTAAGAGCTGGCTTGGGATACCAGCTCTGAGCAGCAGGACCCCGGTTTGGATCCCACATGAGGGCCAGTTACACTGCGCCCTCTCTACAGCTAAGATGGTGAACAACAGCTCAACCTGGAGCTGGGCTGCTGTGAGTCGCTGACGACAGTGTAGGCTGCAGTGGGCTGCTGTGAGCTACCATGAGTGGCTGGCAGCTGGCGTGAGCTGCCAAGAGCCGCCGTGAGCAGCCATCCAGTGGCCAGCGACCGATCTGCCTCACCCGGAAGAGCACAATGATAATACCAACATGGGCCAGTGAAGCAACGTCCTCCACAACTAGACTGAAGAACTAAAGGACAGCAACTTGTCTGTTCCCCTTCCCCAGTTCCCCAACATTGTTCCCCTCCAATTCCCCAATAAAATTATTTAAAAAAAAAAAATACAATGAGCCAAAAGTTTAAACCTCTCATTCTAACTCTGAACAAACTTTAGAGATACATGACATCACATAAGTAACTAAATTATCAGTGAACTTTCTTCGAGTTGAATTTTATTCCCAAGGAGACTGACTCACACAAAAGACTTACCACAGAAGCATTAGGTGCAGACAAATAAGTCATAAAATCTTTTGCAAATTTATGCTGGAAAAACAAAAGAAAGCATTTAGAGTTAAAAGAAGCATATTAAGATTTCGTGAAAATAGAAAATGCAACAGAGTAAATTAAGATAACTTCTTACCAAACAGTTAAATGCTGATAAGTTTTCTGAGCCAGCAAATCGAAAACCCAGAGACAGACAGGCTCCTGCAATTATGTAGACATGTGCTTGCCTGGAGACAGATTACAAGAAATGCCATGCTGTCGTTATTCTGCCTTAAAATTCACGACTGCATCAGCTTGGGGTAAAATAGTGCCTATTCCTGTCCTCCGAGCCAGTTCCTACTGTTCTGGGAGGGCTCAGCTGCGGCTGCGCCTCCCTCAGCAGACGCTCCATATGGCCTTTGCTCAGAAAGGGCGCCCCCTGCCTGCACATTTCATATGCAGCAAATAAAAGGTTACTTTTAAAATTCACTGCCATTTGTTAAATGGAAAGGATGAAAAGAGGAAAAGGTACAAGTTAAATCTCCAATATTGGTTTCTGAGGGCAAGAGCGTAACACTTCAGACCTAAACAAAAGCAAGTAAACTGGGGTCATCTTAGTGAACATGCAATCAGCAATGGTTAGAAACATAGGGATCCAGGCTTCCCCAAGTCAAAGGCAGGACTGCTCCTACACAGCACGTTCCCATTAGTCATCTGACAGAGACTAGGACAGCTCATTCATGTACCACACTTCATAACTTACGACAGAGTTTCCAGATTCAAGTCCTCTGAGCAAGGCAATTCAATTTCACTGAGAGAGATACTATTTTCTCGTATAATCTACAAAGATAGAAATCAAGAATACTTGAACATTAATATTCAAGTTACAAACATTTAATGATTAAAAACTAACAAACTGCTTATCACAACTGTATTTATATGAAATTAGCTTTACCAAACCATTTCATTCAAAGGCCTATGATTTAATCACATTCATGCAACCCAAGTTCCAGCCTAAAATGAGCCAAGTAAGCACAGTAACTGAACAGGACTGAACAAATGTAAGCTGGAGGACTTAAGTACATTCCGAATCAATGGCAGAGTCATGGTATTTCCCATCAGGGAGCCGAAATGCAAGATGGCGGCTGCAGAGGGGAGAGGGGAGGGCTATGGGGACAGGCTAGGGATGGAGGGGACCCCACTCAGATGCACCCTTCTTAGCCATGGGACATTTCTAGCAATGAGCCTATCAGAGGTGAGGTTAGTCACTAGATTAATTACCCAAGCTAAACTGAAATGTCCATGTGTTAATCTGCAACTACTGTGCAGGAACACATCCCTTTCCTTTTACTACAGGCAGTGAACAAGAATTTATCTTTTAAAAAAAAAAGAGTATCTAGCTTTAACAACCAAGAACAGATTTAATCTGTTTCACTGAAAAAATACAAATAAAAAAGAAAAGCTTTTTTTTAATTTAAATTTTTTTATAAATATAAAAATATTTTTTAAACATATGAATGCAAGTACACAGAACAGAAGAACTCTGAAGATTTATTCTTATCGTTCTTTTTTAAAAACTGCTCAGGAGAATAACATTTCAAAATGCTTTTTATGATAAACCAATAAATATTTAGAAGTCACTTTTGACACAATCTACTTACATACTAAATATCACCAAATCAAACACTCAAAATACTGTTTCTCTTATATGATCTCAATGAGGTAAATAATTATGTTGGCTGATGCTACTTCCATCTTTCTTTCTTCCTCTCCAGTGTTTATTTTTAATTTTGGATGCTATTTACTCAGGAATTGACATTCTGAAAAACTGATATAACTCCAAAGTGAGTAATTTTTATATATATACGTGGGTAACGTGATTATAACATTCATGTAAGGTGTTGAGCTACAAAATCATCATGACATGCTTCTCTTTTGACAGCAGGCATTTAGAAGTTCTTTTTTTTTTGTCTTTAAAAGGAGCTTGAAGGCCTAGGTTCGAACCTCAGCAAGGCCATACACTAGGCCTGGGAAACACTCTAGCACTCTCGGAGACAAATAGATTTTATAAACAAAAAGGAACCGAGACCACCACCACACATGGAAAGCTGATTAATGGGCTATGTTTATTTACAATACTTGATTTGGAGTTTTTACGAAAGGGTCTGCTTATTTTTAACTATTTGACTTACTGGATAAATATGCTATAAAGAAGTTAAAATGAGTGATTACACAGGAGATTTAACTTATCACAAAGTAAAAGTTGCATCTTAGATAAATGTGTACCTAACTAGGATAAAAATGTCAAAAATACTTTTTTAGGGTACCTTGGTATATTTAACTTTTAATTGGGATCTGGGACCAGAAAGGAAGGCTGGTCTGTGGTCAGCACACAGGCTTGAAATGAAAATTCCTATGTTTTCAGGAGATGCTATAATTATCAATAGTGCCTTCCTAAAAAGAAGTATCTTATAAGGTTTTGGAAAATCCCACAAAGAACCCATACTTTTATGCCATTAAAGATAACCAGCATCTATCACGTGTATTTACCTGAGGGACGTTGCTGTCAACCCACTTGGAATTTGGTAAAATATCGTCCCACAAAATCAGGCACCGAGCAAGTGTCTGAAAAATGTAATACAAATAAAATTAATTAAAGCAGGCAAAGTTCACAGATTTTGTTAACACTGATAACGTTAAACAGAATAATTTAAGAATCAGTTCCCAACTGATGGCAATTTTGAAAAATAAAGTAAGTATAAAGGATCAACCTAAGCTACTAATTAAAATAAACTGAACATTTAGATTTTAAAACAGAAAAACTAAAATTGAGTTGATTATCATCAAAGTTTGGAGAAGCTGGAGAGGACGTTTTAAAACTTGTTCCATAAAAGAAAATAAGAGACATAGCTCTTGTGTACATAATTTCAAGCCTTTCCTATGCCAAAAACAGACGTTTAAACATTACAGAGGGAATAACCTAGGCAAGCAGCTACTGTCGTTAACAACCCCTTAAGAGTAAGACTGCCTCCTTACTAATAATGAAAGCAGCAGTGAAGCGCCCGTCATTTGCTGCTTGATAGGAAGTCTTGAATGATAATGCAAGAAGCTGAACCGTCAACTCCAGGTATTATATGTCAACATGGCTGCCTTTCCTGCATTCCTACAGCTAAATGTGGGGAATCTCAAGAGAACACTGCCAATTACCGGTACATGATGGATTTAGAGTAAAAAGTTCCCTTGCAGAAACACCTGGATTTGCAAGCCAATCTGAGAACCAGACAGACTCATGTGAACAGAAGTGGAAAGGACAAAGTACATACCCTAAGCAGGAGGAACTCTGGTTTCACAAAGTCCAGCAAGTACATGGTGTCGGGTGCGCGCAGCCAGTCAGCAATAGACCTGTTGGCGGAGGCCATCACCAGCCACATTGCTCAGAAGAGGCGAAGAATCGAGAAGCCCAGACAGACTGCCAAACCCTCATCCCCACTCCAGCTGCTGCCCTGTTGTCTTGTGTAGTACTTTCCACCCTCTAACATACCATTTACTGTGTGTGTTATGTCTTAACTATGACGTAAGCTCCATGAGGACAGGTATGTTTAGTTTTATTTTGTTCCTGTGCCAAGAAAGCACTGACATACACACTCAGCAAACAATAGATAAATAAATATCTGTTTTTACCCACTTTGTTAATTGTGCATACATTCATTTTTCCTAAGAGGAATTACAACATTGAAAAATTTCTGGAATCTTATATTTTTTTAATTAAAAGATTTAAAACATGGTTAATGTCTCCTCCGAACTTACTCTTCTATGCAAAATGTAAAGGAATAAAAAGCCAAAGGTATGCTTTCAAGGGTCAGCATTAATCATTGGGGTTGGGAAGGTAGATGTTGTGGTCAATAAGGAAGCTCTGGAACTAAGCAGAAACCACTTTTATAAATAGTAACCAAGAAAAGAATAAAGCTAAGTATGTCTGGCCTCCCCAGTCATCACAACGATATGCACATTTAATAAAAAGGAATTTGGGCATTTTGGGATTGTCAGTGACATCAACTATAAAACAGAAATGAATAAAATTGGCAATTACATTGTCAAATATCATTAAAATAGCAAAACATTATTTCTAGATAAAAATCCATGTAATCTGAAGTATTTGAGAGAATTAAAATCAGGCTGATCTAGCAGAGGGGAAATAAACACATTATCTAAGATATTTAGTGTTACAACTGAGGTCAGAAAGGAAGTCACACTGTCATGGGGAGTGAGGGGTGTGGTGGGGGACACAATACCTGTTGTTGGTTTTTAAGTAGATCATAGCCAAAGCCAAAGTGGCACCTGGACACGTCACATCCACGTTTATGGTATCTCCTTCCTGTCAAGAGAAGTTTACTCATGTGAAAGAGTTGTGAATTATTATAAAATTCTTCTGCTTCCAACCAACATATTTACAGAGGTGGGTATGAAACTATTGAGAGTCAGCGCTCCGACTTGGACTTACTTTGATCTGGTAACTTGGAGACTTATGCTTCTCCCTGTGCGTTCCTGCTGGGAAGCGCCGGTGGCCTCCGACCATGTACTGATAGAGCTGCTCGGGCACGTTCAGGTCACACATGCCTATCAAATTGCTGCCATGCTGGGACGAGACAGCAGACACAGACAGAAAATTTATGCAGTAAGGTCCACAACACATACAAATCAAAGAATGAACTGACCTCATAGCACGGTACACTGGGGCTTTTTTCTAATTAAATTAACTATTATTTATGAGTCTATTCTCAAGCTATTAATAATTCACATTAAAATTATAATATTTATATGTTCAAGTTAATAATTTGATTTCACAAAATATATAAAGGCTTCAAAGCACATTAAATTGCACTAACAGCCAAAGAAAATATTAGGTATACAAAATGAACATGACCTAGCAACATGTGAGTTGTTTCATTATTGTGCCTATGAACCTTCCAACAACGACTATAATAATAAAAACAACTTCTTGAATCTGTATTCTGTTCCAGGTACTATTTGTGTGTTTAACGTAGATGAACTCACTTAGTATGACAATTCTATCAAATAGCGACTATTTTATAGGTAAGGAGAGTGAGGTACAAAGAGCGAAGCCCAAGGTGGCACAGCTAGCAAGTGGCAGGGCTGGTTATGACACAAGGCAGCTCGGCTCCACAATGCATGGGGTTACTTAACCACCGGTCGATACTGTGGTTAAATGACATGACTCACTGGTCAGGACCAGGATGAGGCTTTTCCACTGTACCATCTTCTCTTTAGTTCATGTGTAAATGTGAAGTCAAACACCTGACAATCAACATGCCTTGCATGATCTAGTTTCAGTGTGACTGTGTGGATGGCTTTCATTCAGTGAGTACCCCACAATCCTGATGTACTCACTGAATGAAAGGTTTTTCATCATTCTGGACCACGTCTCACGGATGGGGTTAGAGATGGGTCAACATGACACTGACTTCCGTCACAGATCAGATGCAGATGCTACTGAGGGAACATTCTGTGTGAGGCCTGGTGAACACCAGGCAGCTCTGGTTTCTCTCTAGCAACGACTACTGACTCTTACAGGTCCCCATCATACACACATTTTCACAATTTTCTGTGTTCTCTCTCAGTGAGCTGTCACTTCTTCATCTTATGTCTTAAAATCTTTTCGAGAAACTTCATTCCCTTAGTTCATTCATGAATATGTACATCTAAGCCTGGGGAGAGAAACCTTAAAGCCCCACTCTTCATTACATTTTCTCTCCATTTCCAGATCTAGCACTTTGAAAGACATCCAGAAAGAAGAGCTGAGGATCAGGTTACGTGCAGTCACGGTAAGGCAGAGCGGCACTCAACCTAAAGAGTCCAGGGACTCGCGCCCTCATGCAAGTGTGGTTGCAAAGCCAGGGAAGGCAGACTGCTTACCCCCAAACAGACCATGCCCAGGGCCAAGCCAGCCGCCAAAGAGTAGGACTCCCTGTCGGTGCAGTACTCCATCTCCGGGCCCGGGGGCCGCCCTGTGAAACAGGAAACAGCACAGTTCATGAGAGCCTCTGAAGCTCCTCACCCACAAAGGTCTTACAGGGAACTTGCTAGTGAGGTGCATAAGAACTATGGGTTCCACAGAACCCCACTAGGAAAGACACGACATCACAAATGGTGTCCACAACTGTCAGTATACCACAAAAAAGGCCCCCAAATGGTTCTTTTAATTTGCCAATTTGAAAGCAACGACTTTAAAACACTGTGAAACCCTGGGTTTTATATAAAAAATAAAAAAAAAATTTACCAAGACAGAGGAAAAGTATTTTTAAACGGAGGGGTGCTCAAAACAGTTTTAATTTTAATCTCTTGCATTTTGTTTCTGCTTTATTATTTTCAAAACCATTCATTCGATGTGGTATTGAAATACTGATAATGGACAGGAGGGTCACTTCCTTTAAGTTTCTAAGCACATTAAATATGTTTCCAGAGACTTATTTTGACTCTATATGCTACTAAGCTGCCCTACTATGGCAGAATTTCAGTGCATTGATCCTAAGTTTGGTCAGTGCAAAATTCAAACTTTTAAAAAGCACCCCATAACTCTAATTCTACCCTTTAAGGCAGCAAAACGTATCGTATATAAAGACCTCTCACTCTAAAACGTATCATATGTAAAGACCTCTCCCTCCAAAAACTGTTCACACTCCTGGGATTTTATCTCCAGGAAAAAAATGCAATTTTTAAAAAAGAAATACTAAAATAAAGAAATATTTTAAAAATCTAAAAATACTGTACAAAAGTAATCAGCGTAATGTTTACGCATAATGGCAAAGAATTAGAAACAACTTAAAGAGTCCTTGGGCCGGCCGAGTGGCTCAGCTGGTTAAGAGCTCGCTCAAGAGTTTGAGCTCTGAGCAACAGCGGCTGGAGTCCTGGCCTGAGCTGAGCTGCTGCTAAGCTGCCAAAAGGTGGCAGGATGGCTCATAAAAAAAAAAAAAAGTCCTAAAAACAAGAAAACAATTAGGCAATTTACAGAATACCAATTCAGTGCTATTAATCAATATAAAATTCATTTTCAAAACATTTATGGCAGTGACATATGAAAGGGGCAGTACAGACGCAGTACAGATATTCCGACAATTACACACAAAGGCGTAAGAGTATGAATACAGATGAAACCCCTGACATATGACACGAAAGAGTGTACTTGGCTGAAGGATGTATGATGACATCACCAGATGCCACTACGAACCAGGCAAAGATGTGATGTTGCCCTGTAGGTGAACAAGTTTCCAAAGCCAGTTAGGAGTAGCTTCTGAATAAGTTTTGCAGACCAACAACCTATGTTACTGCATACTGTGGTAACTGGAACGTTTCAGTTTTGAGGGCAATTTATTTCATCACTGTAGTAGGCTACATTGTTGATCTCAATTCTTCAGGGCCCCGCAGTGCCAGCGTGTCATACCCACAGTCCTGACAGAGCCTCGCAGGGGACCTGAGCATGTGACAAGCTGAGATCTCAGCCGGCACAATGTCCGCAAAGGCCTGACTGTGCTTCCCTTGTCTGGTTCTCTCTCTGGCCCTCTGTCGTCACCCTAAGAACAGCACAACCTCCCGCCTGGGCCCCAGAGTGTGGCCCCTGGTCCAGAGCCAGGGCAGCAGCCCATAGCCCTGCAGCCGGAAGCAGAGGCCCGGGCCAACTGTGTGCTGTGCAGCAGCCTGGTGCAATAGAGCCTGCTGCAGTCACTCTCGAGAATAAAGCACCTTCAACAATGTATCCTGAAACATCAGGAGAAAAGATCCTGACTAGGGCAGGACAAGGCTGGTGAGTGTGCCTGTAAGCTCCTAACGCCAACAGCATTGCCATTGGTCAGAAAAAGGTGACAACACATAAGACAGACTTCCCAACAGCTTAGGCTCAACTAAACACAGAGAAGGTGCGTTTCCTCACCAACATGCCACCAGCATGTGCGGAGGTAAGCAGGAGTTCCCACTTGCATTCTCCTGGAAGTGCTATTGTCCCACAGGATAAACACCATGATGAGGGGCTCTGAGGTCTGAGTGCAGACCCCACGAGACCTCGCCTGGTGGAGACACAGTAGGACCCTGCCCACCTGTGACAGAGACCACAGGCCACCTCACTGAGGCCAGGGAAAAGCACAGACTGGTAACCTGCACGGTAACACCGGCTTGGGAAACAGCACTTGTAGTTTTATTAGTACCAGATCACTAGCCTCAGAAGAGCCTACTAGTTTCCCCTTAATTTTTTCTTTTTTTTTAAATTGGGGAATTGGGGGAAGGGGAACAGACAAGTTGCT